AGAATTATAAATACTGAAATAACTAAGGGATTATAAACAAACAATGTAGATATTTCTTTCCTAATAATATTATTTAAAATGCATTCATTAGTTTTGATATAGCTTTTATTCTTATCTAAGAAAAACCTTTAAAAAGTGTTTTACTTCCTCCATATATATCAGTGAAATGTGAAATTTCCCAAAAATATCAGAATGTTGAGTGAGAGGAGAAACCCACTGAGGGTTAACTGAATTTTTCATTTGAGGAGGCAAATGACTAAATAATAGTCACATTCAGCAGTTTTAATTTTCACGTTTACTTATATTTAAATCCTAAAATGTTATAGCAGTGATAATCCAAAATAGTAAATGATTAACACACCAAGAATCACAAAAAAATGGCTTCAAAGACCAGGCAGGTTATTTATTTATTTATTTATTTTGGGGAGCAGCTGGCCAGTACAGGGATCTGAGCTCTTGACCTTGGTGTTATAACACATTCTAACCAACTGAGCTAACCAGCCAGCTGAGGAAGGTAACTTAAATGACTGAAGCACATTTTAAGCAGCAAGAGACAAGAGAGACTGGTAGAGACTGTGGAGGATTAGCAAGCATGAGCTCCTTCTAAAGGGGATGGTAATTTGTTGTCCAAAGAAACGAAGGCTAAATACTATACTACACGAGGAGCAAGCATTCATGTGAAATCTCCACTCTCCTAAGTGGAGGTAATTTCAGTTGTTTAAAAACCCAGCATCAGTTCATGACCTTTACCTTAAACACATTAAAAATCCACCTAGAAACAAACAAAAGCTTGTGACATATTCAATTTAAGTAAATAAAAATGACTTTCCCCTACCATTACATACCTGCCAAAGGATGAAAACATAGCAAGAATAAACTAGGTGAATGTTAACTATATTTTTATCTTTTAGAAATAACACTGAAATTGTAAAAATCAGACTTACTTTGGATTATCTATATCATATACCACTCGATCTATGATATCACTCTGATGTATTAGTCTCTCAATATCTTGGGCAATTTTTGTCCTGAAATCATAAAAGAGAAGTTTGACCAAAATTCATTATTACATGCCAATGCACAACCTTCTCCAAAATTAAGTTTTGAATAAAAAAAGTGTAAAATGATTGTTTCTCTATCTATATATTTTGTGTACAAAAAATTATCTGTACATAACAAGACAAAAATCAATAATTATCAGAGTCTCAGTTCTAGAAAATAACCATGTAGAATAGAGCCATAAGTCCAACAGTTTAAAAACAAAACAAAACAAAAAAACTTTGAATGTCTATTATGCCTTTCTACATAGAAATGGTATGAATTCACTATCTAACCTTTAGGCAAATAATTTTGTGTACATAATAACAACATTATTAGAAGCGGTTAAAAAAAAACAGATTATATAAGAAGATTTTTAAAAACCCACCTAGCTAGAATTTACCTAAAATGCAACTGGCA